TATAATTTGGGATTTATCTTCGCTTAGTTGGTTAATTTCGAATTAATTTCGTAATCTAGGATAAGTGACATTGCATTAGAATCAGGAAATCAATTGCATTTTAATCTGTTTTTAATCCGCATTTTTATAATCTGCTTTTGTTCTGTTTCATCTAATATTTTAATTTTGAAAAACTTCCCTTTTTTTTGTTACTGTTCTAATTTTAAAAATTGATAAGCTTTGATAGAAATTCGTGGTCTTTGGGAGACGACCTAGGAAAGCTTCCTAGTACTACATTTATTTGTTTTAATTATTTGACCGAGTACGACATCAATGTTGTCGGGTTCATGTTTATGGGTGTTGGTGATGATAACTTCAAACTTGCGACGCAACATTCTTGTGTTATTCATTAATCTCTATGTAATGTCACAATTGACTCAAAACAAGACGAAAACTTCAGTGTAAGGTGTAGGGTTGACACGATCACCCCTAGGGCATTTAGCGATGGCCGATCGAGGAGTATGTTGTAAGATGATATCGCATCGACTACTAGGTATCTTACCTTGATGGTGTTGCATTCATGATTTAACCTTTGCAAACTTCGTGTATAGTTCGATGTATCATTTATTGTCAACCCTCTCCCCCAAGAAACCTACTATTTGCTTATGATATGGGTGAATCAGTCCTTTGTTAATTGCAGTTGCTAAAAGGTTCTTCCATAGAGGATATCAACTGAGCTTCCCTAATCGACCTAAGCTTTTCAAACCACAAAGTTGGTGACCTCCATTATGGTGACCATAGGGTAATCTTGATTGGGATCGATTACCTAGGAGTCTTCTTCATCTGTGAACGTTATGGTCGACATCCACTATTGGCATGAAGTTGTCGTGACATTCTTGGCTCTAATGGTCCGAAGGTGCCTTTTTCTTGTAGCGTTGGATGCTCCTCCCCTAGCAGAGCTGATTGTGCAATCTTTCATGGGACATGTTTTTCTGTCATTTTGGTTGTTGCTTTTCTCTCAATCACGACATCTATCTAGCCACTTATCATTGTTCCTCTTGACAAACTTCTACTAATGACCAGCTTGGATCAGTTCTTCAATTTTGTCCTTTAGGGTGACACAATCTTCAGTTGAATGCCCGTAAATGATACCGACAATGCCTGTTATGATCGATATTGGATGGAGTATGGACTTTCCTTGCATTAGGGGTGTTAAAATAGGCTTAGCCTAGGGTTGACTCGAGAAATAGATTAGGTTAGGCAAAAAAAAAATTGTAATCTAAATTAAATCAAACATATTTTGGCTCAACCTATTTAAGTCATGACTAATATAGATTTAGGTCAAGCTAGTCCGTAGGTCTATGAACCGACCTATTTTATAAAATAATAATTATTTTTAAAATAAAAATAAAACTAATATTATTTTATTAAAAAATATATGTAGTATAAATTAATTTGACAAAGGGATTCACTTATTCTATGAATAAATATTAAAATAAATTTTTAATAATCACTTATTTCAACTTCTACTTGATTAAAATTAATTACTAATTTAAATTAATTAATTACTAATAAATAATAATAATAATAATGAAGAGTAAGTTTTTAATTATTATTTTAAGATTAAATGTATAGATTCTTTTATCATTTATATATTAAATTATTTATATCTTAAATAGAAATTAATTTCATTAATGAAATTTGAAGTTAAAAAAAATTATTTTATTTAAATATTATTTTAATTAATTAATTTTGTATAAATATGTTAATATTAAAAAAGAAATTCAATTAAATCAAAATTAATCCGTTAACCTAATATAGTGTTAAATTAATTAAAATTTTAAATCATTTTAAAATATAATTCAAACTCGTATCGGACGATTTGACAACTCTTTTTATTAGGCATGTCAACGGGTGGGGTGTCCCCGATCCCCGCCCGACTTTTTTAACAAACCTCGTCCCCGCCTCGATCTCGCGGGGTTAGAAATTAAGTTCCCATCCCCGTCCCCGTCCCCGTTGGGTTTCGGGTTCTCCGTCCCCGCCCGTCCCCGATTTATATTATTTTAAAAAAAATAATTACATTTATAATAAATTAATTTTACTATGTATTTTTATATATAAATAAATATTTATAATTTATAATTATTATTAATTAAATATACATTTTAATTTATTATATTTATATTAAAATATATATGTAAAAGAAATATTTAATCATTTTTTATTTATATATATATCTAATATTTATAACATTATTATTATTATTATTATTATTATAACATTATATTCAAATATTTGAATATTTATAACATTATTATTATAATACTGTATTTAAACATTTGATTATATATATAAGTTAATTCATTTTTAAGTTATCATTAAAAATAAGAAATATATAGTTTATTAGGAAATATTTAATAAGTTAATTCTTATTAATTAGTTTGAAGTAATAAAAGTTTAAATTATTAATTCCTTCTAATCCTTTAAAATATAATTATTTTATTAAGATAAAATTTGATATATGATAAATAAGCATAATAAGATAAAAAAATATGATATAATAAATATAAATTATAAATAAACTAATATTAGTTACTACTAAGATTTATGTAAAATATTTAGAAAAAAGGTAAAGAAAAAAAAAACTTTGTGTTCATCAAATTGGTTGAAAAGATTGAAAAAAAAAACAAATTGATAAGAGAGATTAAGAAAATGTGAAAAACTGAAAAATAAGAAAAAGAATAATATAATAAATTAATTGATATAAAAAATTGAAAAAGATAAAAAAAATTAAAAAGTAGATAAAAAAATAAAAATTAATAAAATATAAACAAATAACCTTATATATAATAGAAAAAAAATAATTTTAATATATTAATATTTTAAAATTTAAATTTAAATATAAAGTTGGGACTTGCATTACTCGTCCCCTTTTCGACCTTATCCTCGTTGCGGTACTCTCTCAACTCCTTTAACTACATGGATTTTGTTGTCGTTTTTCTTAGCTCATCGAGGTCCTTTGCGGATTTTTTGCATAAGTTGTCAACAAAAGGCCTAGGTTTTAACGTTGTTACCAAGTGACGGAGAGCAACTCCCGAATTCAGTTTTTTATATTCAAATTTACCTTGCCAAATCTTTTCATGAAATTTCTGAGGTTTTCAATTTGTTTCTTATGCATATTTATAAGAGCGATCGACGTGAGATGGTATGGTCGACCAGTGGTAAACTTCATTCCAAACTTCGCCACTAAGGTGTCGAAGTAGTTGATCGAGCATGGGGGTAATCAGGTAAACCAATCTAGTACTGCCCCTTTTAACAAAGTCGGGAATACCCGACACAAAATTGCGCCATGCGTGGTGTATAAACTAATTTGCGTAACTTACATAAACTTGCTCATTCGGATCTCATGTTCTTTCATATCTATCTATCGTGAGGCTTTTCCATGAGGTCGGCAGTACAACCTCCATGATTCCGTTGACAAAAGGATGTTGGCATGGTCTCTCGGCTAACATGAGGTATTGTGTCAAGATTCCCAAGGAAGCGCTTATATCAGGGTAAGTTTAAGCTTGCGTGATTGGTGAGGGAGGATGAGTGCTGCTTGAATGTTCTTGCATCTTGGATGTCCTCGGGCTTCCTAGATTGTGCTTGCCCTCTTCATCTTCTAATCGCCTTTGAATCCAGTCATTTTCTTATTTTAGCACCGTTATCTCCTTCGTGCTCTTCTTTTTTAAACTTTCCCACTCTTTCCTTAGCTCAGCCAGTGGTGCCACTTCATTGACATGGTTTTCCCTGCTTCCCTCAATGGTGAATTCTGCATCTCCATATTGAGCATCCTCGCGGATACCATCAACTTAGTGTCTTATGGCTCTACAATGAACACCAATTATATTTTTACAAATGGCTCTACAATGAATACCAATTATATTTTTAGAAGATCGAACACTAACCTCTTGAACTAAGTAGCTTCATCCATTCACTAACCTCTTGAACTAAGTAGCTTCATCCATTCAATTTCTTGACGACCCAAAAGTTTTCAGATGCAGAATGTCCTTGGATCGAAAAAGAGATTACTTAGAATCATTCTTCAACATCAAAATTAATAATGGATATTAAAAATTTATAATACATTATAGAGTAAAAATATTTATTACATGTGACTACTATTATTTATTCTTTCAACAATATTAACTATTATTTATTTTATAAATATTATTTATTATTTTTTTAAAAGATATTCTGTTATATCTTCAATAATATTAACCATTATTTATTTTATTAATATTATATATTATTTTTTTAAGGATATTCTATTATACTGAATATAATTTCCAATTTATGTGTTATTATTATATTAATTTATTGTTTGTTATTATGTTAATTATTGTTGCCGACTTATATCTGTTAAGTTCTATGTGCGATGTTTTATCTGTCAATACAAAAAAAAATAAGCGTAACATAAAATAATTCGTTAATTATTAAGATTTCTAATTAATAACATTTACAACTAATAAATGAAATAATTTTTTTTGGAATTTTGACTTCAGTAACTATAATTTAATTGTGACCATTAATTACTGTAAGCAGAAACCATTAATTACAGTAAGCAGAATTTGCGAAGTAAAAAGTAGTACGAGGAAAGAGAAAAGGGGTGATTAATTGATTATAATAAATATTATTATTATATTAATATATGTAATTGTCTTTTGGTTCTTTTGATTGTATTTGAGAGATGAATCTTAAATAAACATTTCTCAACCGGAATTGAGAAGAGAAGTGAAGTCAATATTTTAAAATCACAAAATGATTCAAATGACAGTAATACAATCTTATCTCCAAAAAAAAGCTAGTTATGTTCACAGATTACATCCACAAAATAGAGCAAAACATTAACTTTTCTTCAATCTTTTATATGTGACTATATTATCTTAAAAGTCACAACAGCCAAAACCACATGTTCACCCTACTTAATTTACATACATATAATTCTATGAACTCTCATGCAGTCAGTCAGTCAGTCATATTCAAGTGTAACTATCATGGCCATCTCCAAGATGCCCCCTCAAATCCTCAGAACATCTGTATTCAGCTGTGTCCAAAACATTGGTATCAGCCGCAGCCATGGTTGACTCTGTCTCCAACTCTGCACTCTTCTTTGCTGCATCCAAAGCAGTGTCCTTAGCCCTTTCTCCCACATTCTCCAGCACCTCTGTTGACTTCACTGCCCCTTCTGCTGCTCCCACAATTGAATCACCACCCTGAAAAATTGAAAGGATACATAAAAAATATTGATTAGGAAACAAAAATATCATATATACACTAATGATATAAAACAATTTTGAAGGTTTAGAGTTTTATATAGACCCTAAAACAGCTTTACACTGAAATTATCAGTATAAATCCTAAAACAGGTCCGATAAAAGTTCATGAATAGATAGCTTTCAAAATAGTTAAGTTAATAAACAACTTCATTAGTACATATATAACGATTTGCAATTAAATAGTTGCGTAAAAATTTCTACTGCATAATCTATTTTTTCATGGTATGTGCACAGAGCATTTGCATTTGCATTTGGAATGCACAATCCATTGATACTAACTATAGGAGGTATAGGAGTAGTTGATAGAAGGCGTTTGAGCAAGTTTTTGTTGGACAACACAAGGGGAAATCTCTTGGCCATTTTTCTGTGTGTGTGACAATAAGTGTGATACCCTAAAAGGACGATGACATAGGGAAGGTTATATAAGAAAGAGCAGCGAAAAGGGAAGGAATAGAGAAAGGAGTGTGACACGCGGTGGAAGAATGGCATATGCTAGCATGAGTCATAAGAAAGGGAGAATGAGCAACTCAACACGTTTGGTGTGGCATTTGCATGACACATGTCAAGAGCTTCATCGGTGGAAAATGAAGTGAATTGAAGGGGGGAGACTAGAGAAAAAGGATAACATTACACTTTGTTTTGGCAGACACATATGTTCCCAAAATAAAGGGATTTATACGCTGAATCTTCTGATTACATCTGCCAGAAGCTTTTATCTTTCTGGAATTATTGTACACGATGATTGTTATTTATCTCTGACCTGCACATGCCATTCACTTCACTTGAGAGTTACACATTGTCGTCGTACACCCAAGTTTTCTACCTCACTCATTTTTCTCCCTCCATTTGTAATATCTTTTCAATTTATTTCTCATATATTTTGATACACGTTGTCGTCGTACACCAAGTTTTCTACTTCACTCATTTTTCTCCCTCCATTTGTAATATCTTTTCAATTTTATTTCTCATATATTTTGATAAAAAAAAAGACGGAAGAAGCTAAATAACATAACTAAATGATGCAACTTGGTAATTATAGATTTAAAATAGATTTTCTCAAATCCTAACATCAACTCCCTAATATTAAAATAATAACAATAATTTTCACAATAGTAAAATTAACTACAGGTGTATTTGCAAAATCAAAATATTCTTCCTTCTAACATTTAACTCTATTATTTTCTATTTAATTTTATCCAACAAAATACACCGTAAAATTAAATCCCTATTTAGTCGATTGAGACCCGTCACAGACTGACCTACCAACTGCTCCTTCTAATTAAGAGTTTCTTTATCCTTCATCTCGATCAGCTTCTTGCAATTATTGAACAACATCAAAGACAATGGCTTTGTGAAGATATCAATAACTTGATCTTGATTTGCCACATGCACCAACTCCACATTTCCTTCATTCATGTATTCTCTTATGAAATGAAATCGTACATCAATATACTTACTCCTATCATGGTTGATCAAGTTCTTTGCTAATTCAATTATTGACTTGTTATCAACTTGGATCACCTTCTGTTTCTGGTGAAAATTTGATCGATTTCGATTAAATCGAGACTTAGGTTCTAACCAAATTTTAACCACGTAGATTCTTTTTATTTATGTTAGCAAACGTTTTCAATCGAAAATGCATGAGAATGTAAACAACGTAAATTAGTATGCAAATCGAAAGTACTATTTTTTGTATTTTTATTAAGAAGCGCGAAATAAAGAAAGTAGTAAATTTGTTGAATCGAAAAACGGTGCAGAATATTAAATTGCAGAGAAACATAAAATGCGGAAACCTCAAATTTGCATTAAGTGTAAATGACAAGGAATTGAAAATAGCAGAATCGTAAATAAGCAGGAAATCGCAATTTGCAGAAGTATAAGTGACGATGGACTTAAACGTATAACATTAACTTGCGTAAAAGTAAAGGAACTAGGAATTGAAAGGACAGAAACTTAAAGTTGATAAACGTAAGTTGCATGAAAGTAAATTACCAGGGAAAGTAAAGAAAGCGATAAAGGCAGTCAATAAAAATGGAAATCCAGATCGTCAGAAACTTCATGATTTCGTCGTTCTCCGGTAGACTTTTTCACTAATGTTTCAGTTCTCTTTGCCAATTTCCCCTTTCTTCCTCAAGTTTTGCTCTATTTATAGGGCACCCTTCAGATAACCTCCTAAGAGCAGTTAACAAAACTGCCACCACGACCCACCATGCACATTTCTCAGTTCCACGGTTTAAAAACTGTATTTCACGTTCCCATGCATGAGATAACCGTTCCCTTGACCTTCAATCTCTGCCACGGTTTAGAAACCGCTTCCCATGTTCTATGTGCGCGTTAACTATTCCTCTCTTTCTAACTTAGCCAGCATTTCGATGGCCGTGCATGTTAACTTTTTCCTCGATTTCGATTTCAAAATCTCGAGAACTTTGCATTGTTTCTTTTTTTACTTTAACCTTATCATTACATGATTCTAATTCCTCGATTTTCTTCAACAATAGACATTAAATATTCCTCCTTCGATTCTCGATTTATGTGTCCATACTGTTACATGGTCATCGAATGTTTTTTCAACCATCTTTTCACTTTATCAGTTTTTTAAACAATCATATGATCCTCGATTTTTTCTTTCCTTCGTTTTTCGATCCCTTTATCGATTTCCTACTAACAAAATGCCCCCTTGGAAGAATATAAATATTAATTTTTATTTTATATTCTTACAAAATGATTCCCGCCTTCAAACGTTTAGGAGGCCCTAAAATAACTTTTAGGGTTTAGGGTTTATGGGGTTTTTCTAGGGTTTCTGGGGTTTTTCTAGGGTTTCTTTACTTTATGTCACATATCAAATCACTCTGTTGTCACACTGCACACGCCACATTAATTACCCTTCGCCTCCATCGCTTCCAATACCCTAGTTGGTTTCTTTTAAACGTTTGTTAGCCTTTTTACCCTTGTTTTTTACCACGAACTTAACTCACTTCTCCTTTGCACCTTCGTCTTCTACCTTTCGTCTTCATCTGCTCTACCGACTGTAATGGCAACCTCATCCAAATCCTCTGATTTCTCTGCCCCACCACTTCCCTCGGTGACCTCTAACCTGCTAGAGATTAATGGGAAGAAGTTTGCGCCGGTCCCTTTGATGGAAGAGGCTTCTCAAAAAATTGCTGACACACAAGTACTCATTCCTTACATTGTTGATAATGTAAATTACGCTTTTGGAGGTCCTATCCGCTATTGTGGCGGATCATTTTCTTCTTCTCTTAGCCTACCTTCAGAGAGTAAGGTTCTTATCCATTAGCCTGAGGTTCGAATAGATTTTCTTATCACAAAAAACCCTTGTACATCAGATGGTTTGATCGAGTTAAAGCTAAATTTGGGAACCATTGGAGGGCTGTAGGGATTTTTTATTTCCTGCATTTGTCTCAGTGTGATCTATCTTTTTTGGATATGTCCATGTTTTTATCCGCCGTTAATTTATGGAATAAGGACTTACATGAATTGGAACTTCCTTGTGGCCCCTTTTCGCCCACCCTTTTCGAAATTGCTGCTATTACTGGATTAAAGCCCACGGGGGAGAAATACTATAAGGGGGCTTTTCCTTCGGATAACTCTTGAAGGTCGAAAATCGATTGGGAATCGAAGGCCTATGGGCATTTTCTCGAAAAGCACTTCGTCGATGATCAATCAGTAGCTGTGACTGATGAGGAGCATATAGCCTTTTTGGTGTACTGGTTATGTACCCATGTCTTTTGCCCCCGATCCATCCAAATTTCATCCCACCTCTATAACCTTGCCTATCTTCTCCATACTGGCCGACCACAAATTAATTTAACGAAGTTATTATTGGCCCATGTTTATACTTCTTTCGATGAAGCTGTCGATATTTTGAACACCCCTAGGGCCTCGGGGAATTTTTCAGGTCCTATTTGGTTTATTCAATTATGGCTCACCTCGATTTTTGAAAGCATCCTCCCCCCAACCTCAAAAATCCCCGCAAGTTTGAATTTAGAGGGTGCTCGATTATCTTCTCCATATCCCCACTACAAACCTGACGAGGCTAGTTACCGAAATTACTTACAATTTTTGTTGACCCGCTTTCATTTTTATTCGAATTTGGCCCCTTTTACTGTGTATCTTGGAAAAACAAGTGACAAAATTCGAGGGCCAACATGGTTTAGATCGAAATTTCCTGCTCTTACTCCGGGACTACAATCAGAATTGGTTGAAGTATGGAATAATTACCTAGCCCAAGATGTTTTGGTATCAGGTTTCCAATCGAAGGATCTTCAATTCATCACTTATTAGCCCCAGCTCTTGTCGCGGCAATTTGGTTTGAGTCAAGCCTTACCATTTTTTCCCCTCGATACCTCCTCAAGGTCCAAATTAAGTGAATCGACTATTGGACGGGAGCTCGCCAAACTGCTGCCAAAAAACCCGATGCATTTTTACCCTTATATTTTTTAATCCAATTATTTATCTACTCTTGGTTTCTCTCAGTGGTGGACCGATTGGTTTTCAAATAATCATTTTGATTTTGACATAGTCCAATCAAAATTGACTGTTCATCCTTCTCTCGTGTTGCAGGACAAGTCGAAGGCGAAGAAAGGTACATACTCTCACTATCTCCAAATATCTCGATTTGAAAATTTTTATCGAGTATGCTACAACCCCTTGAAATTAGAATCGACCTTCTATGATGCTGTTATTTCCTTAGTCAATAAAACAGACACTAACCGATCGAACCACAAAATAGTCAATCCTCGAGGCAAAACCCCATTTGAAATGTATTGTCCTAACCATCTTCCCACTTTCCTTTCAGTTCCTTTCGGACTAGCCAAACCTTTAACTCATCCCAAATGGGTTCGAGAGTTAAGATCCTTGAAAGAAACTCTTTACCCTAAACCTAAAAACAAAGAAATTTCGATATCGAAATTATCCTACTTCCCTTACCTAAATCTCCCTCAATCTCTTCTTCCTTCCTGGCTTGTTCATATCGACCGAGTCAAGATTTTGACTCCATCACCCTTTGGTGAGATTTTTCTTGCCTCTTTTAAGAATGTTTTCAATCTTTTTCAAATTGTAATCTAACGGTTTTCCTTTTTTTGATAGTTTCGAAGCCTTCTTCGACTGTTGCCCCCGAGAAGGACTGGGAGTCCTCGGACGAGTCGGATCCCTCGGCCCCCACTAAGAAACGCAAGCATTCTGCCACCATTACCTCATCTTCGAAAAAATCGAAGGTTTTTTCTCGACTTCTTATTGCCTTATTCATTCAATTTTTATTCTTTGTCCATAGCTGATTCACTTCTATTTTTAGAAACAAAAATCGAAGAAGAGTCCTCGATCTGTTCAGCCACCTGCTATAA